TCACTGAAAGTAAGATGAGATTAATACCTATACCTGTATTCTGAGTAAATCTCTCCACTGGCAAGCAGAAACGATCAGCCACACAAGGCCATAGAACACATAAAGAAGTGACATGGTGCCATAAAACTAAAGGGTTGAAAAAACAGATTCTGATGAACACTCTTTTATTGAGTGAGTGTGTACATGTAAGTAAAGATAACTTCGACCATTAAATAAAGCCACTTTTCATTTTGTTTCCCATCAGTTCACCTTTTCCGTTTCACCACGCTCTACGCACTCACCACCAGTTCTATTGCTGTTGACAATGGCGCTCTGTAAAAAACACCACTAGAGCTACCAATGAAACAGTTTTGGCTCTCTGTCATGTACCTTATACCATTACCCAGGTAGTAAAAAATGGCAAAATACTCCACAAGTTCTTTAAAAGATTGAGAATTGTACGTCAACACCATTTTCTTAAAGGGCCACTAAGTTTTTGGAATTTGACAAATCTGAAATTTTTTTAATACTTTGGATTTTCTGTACTTTAACAATTGCTGTAATCATGGTCTTTGTACATTCAAACTCAAGCTGATTAAAACTGAATTCCCTCTCCTTTTTGTGCCTGCTGCTAAACTTCAATATTAACTCTTACTGGTCCTAGACACAAAATACAATACTTGCTTGGATTTTAGAGGAAACATCCAGGGTAGCCATCACTGTCAAGATATATTGGTGAAAAAAAAAAACCCTGTTGCAAGCCACCCATTGCCAAGCACAGAATAAACAACAATTTTTGACATTCTAGTAGGTTGCATTTTTAATGGCAAGGAATAATTAACTGCATGTAGCAACATCAAGAATAAACCATGCAATAGCAAAACACACTCTTTCCACTTACAGGATACAGAGGCCAATCAGATGCAGACAGATAACCATTCTTTCCTTTCATTTCAACATCCACTGTAAGAGAGACAATCAGCTGTCATTAGCAAAGTATAACACACAACAACATGGAATCTTTTTCTTAAATAAATAACAATGATCTATTATTTCACTCAAGCAGATGATTTTGTTACTTACAACTCAGATCAAAGTCCTCATCTTCTTTAAGTTTATTCACTGGTATGGCCTCGATGACCAGTACAAAGACCCCATCACGTTTTGTTTGACAAATACGGTTCACAACCTGTTAGAAACAAAACAAAAAAATTAACAACTTTTTATATCAATATCATATCTTTTAACCCTTTAACTCCCAAGATCTCATTAGTAATTCTCCTAACTGCCTGCCATACAGTTTTTGTGATGTTAGTTTGGAGAATTTGGCATTGAATCACCTTATAATCCCCTAACTGATATTTTTCTCTATTCTCATCACTTGTCTGCTTGATATTGTGTTGATATAGTAAGGAGAAATTCTGTCTTGGTCACTTGCGGGAGTTAAGGGTTAACATCTTTATAACTGAGGTAATTACCACCATCATAACTATCGTTATTAGTAATAAATGGAACAAAGCTACAGGACATAGACATCCAGAATCCAAGAAATCACCAAGAATACAAACATATTCAAATTATACAGTAAATGGTTTGAACCTGTAGTTAACATGTGATAGTGTCGTCTGATCATCCAGGTGAGTGTAGTCCTGTGAAGTCCCAACTCCTGCTCAGGATGTTGAAACGTCAGTCACTACTGCTGACAATAATCCTTCTCAAGACTGCACTCACCCTTGCAATCAGACTGAACTATCATATCAATTCCAAAGATCCTGGGGAAAAAATGTTGCTATTTATCATCTGTGATCAGTATGTGAAAAAGAAGGATTACATATAAACAATTTTTAAAAAAAAGACTCAATATTCACCTTTTCTTCAGTTTTCTTCTTAGTTGTTCCTGTTTTTTTGGGCTTTTTCTACAAATCATTAGCAAAATAACAACATCAATAAAAAGAAAAATTGTACAAGAATATTTTTAATAAATATAATCAACAACCTAAAACTATTATCACAGGGATAACAATCACCATTAGGATATTTGTAATGATGATTAGTTTAATCATTAACATTATCATTATTATTGCTATCGTTATAAAAAGGCTATTACATCTCATAATTGCTGCACAACAAAATGATCAATTTTGAAAATTTATTGGATAACACCTAAAATGTCTTGAAAAGAAAAACTGCTAAAGGATAAGACTAATAAATGACAGATAATTAAACAAAATAATTATTATTCAATAGCTCATTCTCATCAGCTGGAACCACAGCTTTTCTCACAGAAGTTTTCTTGGTTATGAAGTAAAGGCAAGATATTATGTTAGCACCCAAAGCTGAGTAGGAAATTGCAAATGCAATACGTGAAAGTGCTTTAAAATCCCTTTTAAGGCATTTTGAAGATATCAACTTGAAGACAAAACTTTATGAAAGACTTTGAAGCTTACCGATGAACTTTTTGAAGATGACTTTTTAGAACTTTCTGAATTCTTAAGGAACAAAATAACCATTGTTAACATCAGAAATGGTAATACAATAAAAATCAGAGACAAGTGATGGATCAGTCATAAAATTAGGATGGTGCATTTTACAATCTTGAAGGAACTTAGTAAAACTTTCAAACATATTGTTCATCTTGTTCACAGATTCAAATTACAGTGCAAGCTGACTTGTTTTGTGAGTGTACAGAGTGTATGTCAGCTGACCCATTGTCACAGTTTTTAGAAAATGTGATCTTGGGATGTTTGTGCATTCACAAGATGGCATTGACATCCTTTCCTTGCAACATGAATGATAATCCACAATGTCAGAGTTGCAGGTTTTCATACTTAATGCTTTAACTCTCAAGAACTGTTGAATAATTCTCCCTTCTGAAAGTATCACTTATCCTCATAATTTGGTGTTAGATCATGGTGACAACTCCCACCTGATAAGTTTGAATATTCTCATTACCTGTTTGCTGGATAATGTATGGATATTATAGGGAGAGGTTACACATTAATCACTTCTTGGAATTGAAGGGTTAATTTCATATTTTACATGTATAAGAGAGTATTTGCAATATTTAGTGAGGCTGGTCAAGTTCAGTTCAAAGCTGGTTTAATAAGTGGCCTGTATGAACAATAACAAGGTCAGATCACAACACTAGGAGCTATGTTCCCTTCTCTTTGCAAGAGGTGCATGGGTTCTTTAATGTCCCCTGCTAACCAGTAAAGAGAGGATACAGGAGACAGGGCGTAAGGGTTATCATCCCCATCAGAGACTAGAATGCCTAACCATTTGCCAATGTCACAGCAAAGACAGCACATTCTCATTAGTTATTTTAAGACCCTGAGGGTTGGTCTGCTCTGGGACATGAACCCTCACCCTACCACATGGCAGTGGCCTACAATGTGAGCCAACCAAGCCTGGTCAATAATTTTTTTAAGATGGGAGCTTACATGTACTCGATGATAGAGCACACAATGATAGGTATAGAGCTCACCTCTGAACCTTTTGTTGTAGATGATGCAGTTGATGATTTACTTGTTTTAACCTCTGGTTTGCTCGCCTCTTGTTTGATCGCCTGTGGTTTGCTTGCCTCTGGTTTGTCCTTTGGAACAAGAGGGAATCTATTAAAAACTGCTGTAATAATCTCGCACACAGGACACTGCGCCTGGAGCCTATCAGTGCCTTTTCTTATTAACCCTTTGACCCCTTTGAGTGACTGACATCTAGCTTCTTCTTACAATATCACCCCTGAATCATGCATTACCAATGCTCCAAGTCTCAAACCTTTGGTCCCCATGGCAAGTGAAAAATAAATTTGGCAACAAAAATTAAAGTAAAAAGTTGCCACCTGGTGACTAAAATTTTGACAAAAGTTGCCAATTGGCGACCAAGATATTTGGAAACAAAAAACAAAAACCAAAACAAAAACATGAACAATTTATTGATCCTTGGTCCAATTATCAAACAAAGAAACCATTCCCAAATACACAAAAACCTACCTAAAATGAACAGTGCATGATAAGTCCAATTGATTTTGTTTAGACGAACTTCATTTTATATTTTTACATTATGTGCTGTATCTAACTCCAACCTTCAACTATGCAATAAGAAGGATGGTGACTAAATATTAAATCATTCTAGATGTCATTTACAACACACAAGGTTTTAAAACCAATGTTTCAGCTAACTTCAAATGAGATGTTTCTCCACTGAGCAGTGGACCAAAATCATATTAAACATGATATGTCACTCACTCTCTGCGACTTTGTACACTGCTTAACCTTTTGAGCTCTGAGAGTGACCAGCATCTAATTTCTCCCTACAAGATAACTCCTGAATTGCATATTAAGGTTATGAAAATAAAGGAAATAGTCACCTGGGAAGGAACCTTATGATTGGCAAACAAATTCTCTTTGTCAGTTTCCTTGGAAATGTATAAAGATCAGTGTGGAGAATATGCATACTGATGTTAGGGTGTAAAAGGTTAAAGCAGACAGTGTCTCTCTACCTTCTTATCACCTCTTTTGCTTGAAAATGTATTGACACTGTTGGAAAAAAATTATTCAGGAATCACCCTTCCACGTTTAGCCTTTTGACCCTAACATCAGTAACATCTTCATACTCTTTTCTATACATTTCCTAAGGTGCTGACAAGGAGAATTTGTTTACCAATCAAGAGCTTCTTTAGTTGCTGATCATTTCCTCGATTCTCATGATTTTGATGGGTGACTCAGGGTGGTATTGTAGAGAGAGAAATTAGATGCTAGTCACTCCTGGGGTCAAAGCCTTAACGCAGACAGCTATAACTGTCTCACAGCCATAAAAATCTTACATTTGCATCTCTCTTTCTTCGTTTAGAGGTCTTCTGAGGTTTCCCATCCCCATTTCCTAGCATCTCACTCTAAAGGGGAAGCAAAATATGACATCTGGTTACTTTTTAAGAAAGAAAACATTACTTCAAAGTACTAGTTACAAACAATACCACAATACATGTTGGAAACCAGGTCAGCAAGTATGGTGTGCTTACCACATCAGGGTCAGGTTTCTCTTCTCCTTTTGAATCTTTTCCTTTTTTGCCTTCATTTTCCTGCAAAAAATGAAAAACAGATTGCCTTTCATTTTAAATACAAGTTGAAATATTCTTCAAATGACTACTCTGGCAAATGAATACCTTCAACTACTAGAAACTAGGAAACACCGCCTTTCCCTTAAAATACTGCATTGAAACTTCACCAAAGAGGAGCAAACTACCAGCACAAAACTTGAGTATGAAATCTGCCTGAAGCATATTAATTAACCTCAGGGACATTAATATTGTTCAAGTGAATTATGTATGAATAATGGACTTTGCATTTTTTCCATCACACACACATTATTAGCTTTTCTGTAAGAGTCCTACAGTGGATTGAAATACAAATTCTCACAGTCATCGCATTGGAGTACAAAAGTACATGCATGGGCACATATGTAAAAAAGTCAAAAGATGAAACACATGCACCTTTGCATGTAAATCATCAAATGCTGCATGCATATAACTTCACCCAATGGAAGTGCATGCACACTGTTATTCCTACAAATTACATGCACATGTGATTGATGCATGTGTTGGTGCTGCGATACACACTAACAGATACTCCAGGCAGACATCATTCATCAATAGATATCAGTGAAGTAAACTCTCCTTTTTTAGTACAAAAACTTACATCAGTGTGAACAGGTTTCTTTTTCTTTTCTTGCTCTGTGTCTGCCTTCTCTTTCTGCGAGCAAATGAATAAAAAATACCAGAAAGTTACAAAATTCTACTTTCAATTAATCTTTTTCAGTTGAAGTTTACTTTGCTGCAGCTAATTTAACCCTTGCATTACCAGTTATGATTAGAAGAAAGGAAAATAATTTTAAGAAGTTTCAAGAACTCAAAGTAAAAACAACTAAATTGCCTAAAGTACAAGAAAAGCACGTGTTTTACATCTGATTGGTCGAGAGAGTGGTGCAAGTTTTCTGGACCAATCACAGAGCAAAGTAAAGTAAAACACCAATGCAATCTCAGATTACCTCTAAAACGCAACTGAACTTTACTCTATCTATAAGACTGTTGACATTACTTTAAAGTATGAGCTATTAAAAGTACTCCAGCTTGCATGAAAAAAATCTTTTCTACCACTGGTACTAACATGTTCCTCTTCTTTATCCACTGTGCGTGCAAGTTACTTTAAATCAATTTTTTTCAATTTAAGGTTCACTTATTATTGCTACCTCAACCAGCTGTCAACTCTTAAACTCTTAACTCTTAACCCTTGAACTCTTATGAGTGACCAATACAGAATTTCTCCTTAAAATATCTATACAATATCAACCAGGTAAGTGATGAGAGTAAAGAAAAATATCAATTTGGGGGTAGTTAGTTGATCCAATACTAAATTCTCTGAACTAACATTATAAGAATTGTATGATTCACAGTAAAGAGAATTACAAATTTGATCTAGGAGTTAAAGAGTTAAAAGTCACCTGTATCTCATTTTTCCTTACAGCAATACTGCTGAATCATTTATGAAGATCAGGATAATAGAGGAACTGATCACTAACCAAAGAGACTTTGATTGTAAAACAAGTTCTCAGTTTCATTTTTTTCATCAAATAAGTGATGTGAATTCTCCAATCATTTAAGCATTTAAAACTTCACTTTCTTCTCTGGGACCTTCTTTGCATTAGGCTCATTTTTATACAAAAGCATTGTGACAATTTGATATGAGATTGCATGATATCAAATAATCAGGACACATAAGATTACTTTTAAATACAAGTTATTGACTAAGCTATTGACAGTGTACAATGTAAGTGAACAAATTAATGTCTAACAGTATGACGTACCTCATCAGTTTTATTTTTCTCATCTTGATTCTCCTCTGTTCCCTGATCCTTTTCCTGTTCACAAATGAAGGAAAAATAATGGTACACAACATGAATATCACCATTAACATGTTCACTTCCAAGATTGGGTTGAAAATTCTCCCCTCCAGCTGATACACATTTCCTTGTAAATTAGTTTAGAGAATTTGATGTTAGATCAAGTTAACTACTCAATAAGTTAGAGTATTCTCATCACCTGATTGCTAGATAATGTATTGATATTATAGAGAGTTACATGTCAATCATTTCCAGAGGTGATTAACATGTAACTTCTCCCTAAAGTATCCATATATATTATCCAGCAAACTGGTGGTGGGAATACTCCAATTTATCAGGTACAAGATATTATATTGATCCAACAGCAAATTCTGGTAACAAATTTACAAGGCAATGTGTAGCAGCTAGAAGAGAGATTTAACAATCCAATCTTGAGAGTGAAAGGGTTAACTAATCATTACAGTTGAAGTTCAATGATTCTAGTTACTACAACTACAGTAGTTTAACACCATAACTACATTCTCATGTACCTTATACCTTTTGAAGGGTTTTCATTTAGTCTTTCAGGCTACATCAGATGAGTAAACTTACAAAGAAATAGGACTTCCTAGTTCAGTTTTGTTTTGGTGTCTTCCAGGAAGGAGACATCCCTATGGATCTAGCATACACACATTTAATCTACACAACTGCCTCAAGTTACTCTAAGAATTACTTACTTGACTTTCTGTAACTGAAGGGCTGGGTTGAATCAACTCTATTACCGTATCAGTTTGGTCCTACACATATATATTTTAAAAAAAAAACAGCAATAGAAGTTGTGCGCCACAGAAAGTACCACCTGGTCTTAGTTTTAGCTTAGTGCTACACAGTTTACATAAGCCTCGGAGGTCCTTAACACCCACAGTTGAAAAGCTTTGTCCAATAAAAGCATTATAACTTTTTCTAAGGCTTAGTCCAACTCTCCTCCAATAAATAACAGGAATTTAATCTACTGGGACAGTGATGGCAAGAAAACTATACAAAATGAAGTTCCATATATATTTTTATTCAGAATTTTACATTCAGCTCTACTTGTCTAGCATATCTGGTGGCAGCATATCTCTTTTTTTTTAGACCAGACAAATATTGGTGATTTATCACTGTTGTTCTGAAGACAGCTAAAAAAATTTCCAATTTTTTTTCTTCCAACAAAGTTTATAAGGATTTCATGGCAAATAAAGCAAGGTAAACATCACCAATGACTGTGAAAGCTTCAGATGTGAACGAGTTATAACTCAATCACATCTAAAGCTTTTTTGGTAATTAGTGATGTTCACCTTGCTTTATTTGCCTTGAGATCCTTTAAAAACTTATAAACTTTGGAAGAAAAAAAAATGTTTTTTTACTAAAGGTCTTTTACTTTTCTTCATATTTAACTTCTAATAAGTTGTACTAGATTGAAGACCAACTCGCCTACATCTCTACTTGATTTTATACATCAGCAAGTTGACATTAGTGAGTTGAACTGTCGGCAACTGGACCGTAATTCATCTGTGAGGGGCACTTGTTTGACAATATAACTTATAAGATATGTCTGGGTGCTTATTTGAGGAAATAGAGTAGATATAAAACCAAAAGTTCAAGGCAAACGGATACAAACCGCAAAATGTATTGCAGCTTTACAATCCACAGTGTAGTTTCCATTCAGCGAGTGATTGGCATAACCACTATCAAAAATTATACCAACACGGTCCTCTCCTGAATCATCACCACCATCCTGAATAGAAATGAAAAGTTTTTAAACCCTTTCAGTAATTCTCCTAAATGTCTGCCATACAATGTATTACAATGTTAGTTTAGAGAATTTGGTTTTGGATCCACTAATAATACTCTAATTGATAATTTTCTTAATTCTCCTCAATAATCTGCTTGATATTGTATTGAAATTCTTAAGAGAAATTCTGTCTTGGTCACTCATGGGAGGTAAAGGGTTAACACCCACACGCATACACAAAATTACAAGATTCTGGGGCTTGAATCCTACTTATTGACAAAATAGAGAAAGGACGTCATCACAATAAAACGTAACATTTCTAATAATTTTATCAAAGTCATGGACTTGTCATGGTCTAACAGAACACAAGAAAAGCTCATAAAAGTCTTTAAAAACTTTGAAAGCTGATTACTATCCAAAAAATTGGTAGAATTTCAGGAAATTTAAAAGATGTGACAAAACAGGGAACATTCAAGAAACATGTACCTCCAAAGGTGAGAACATCTCAGCACATGGTGAAACTGCCAAACGCCATTTAATAAAGATTTTTCCTTTATAACCCGAGCATTGCCCTTCATGAAACAAAACAGAAATTTGAATTGATAAGTTTTTAAGCTAGGGATGTTACAGTATCTGTATGAAACAACAAGATATCTCAAATTATTCACTGGGAAATTATGGCTGCTACAGAAGAAAAATTCAAATTACATCTAGAATAATCTTTGTAATTGTTGCACTTTTCATTTATTTATTTTGCATACAATTTTTTACAGCATTAAAAGCAATTTTGGCACAAAAAACCAACATAGAAGGGTTAACATCAAAGGATGCCAAGATTATGAAAATACTTTTACCTGAATGGAGTCTGATTACACATCAAGATTTGGCTTTAAAGCTCTTGTAAAAAACATTTCATTCACTAAACAGTCAAATTTGTTTCTGCATTTCTTGAGCACTTCAAAATGCTTTAGCACATCCTAAGGCATCTTTCCGTGCACTTTCTTGTAGTGTTTGGCAATGGCATAGGATTGTTGTTTATGTCCTTTTGCATGATTATATAAATGTCTACATGTGTAACCTACATAACCTGCATTGCACAGGTCACACTGAAAAATATAAACAACATACTGCTGATTTACAATTGGTGGCTTTGTTTCTTTGAAATTTAGTTCCTGTTCAATTTTTCCGCCCACAAACACAGGCTGGATGGCGGTGTGTACTTTTAAGCTCAGATCCTTTAGTTGTTTTCTCATGATATCTGCTGAGATTTGGTCTCTAAATGGCAAAATTACATGAACTGTGTCATCTGGCTCTTTAGAGGGTGACAAAAGTTGCTGCTGATCACAATGCTTTGAGTTAATGAAGCTTTTGATGGTAGAGTAAATGAGGCATTTGTTGGAACTTCAAACATGAGAATACTGTCTTCAAATGGTCACATTCATCGGAAAAATGTGACCGAGATAAAGATAAAATATGTGCTCCATCAGGTGTAGTTCTTAGTGGACCCTTTTTGAACCGAGTATCAACACGACTCTTGGTTCAGTAACTGGATACCCAGAAATGGGAGCATGCCATTGCATTTGATTGAATTTTACAGAGGAATGTGCCATGTTAAGGCATGTCCAGGAAGTTAGATGCTGTTGCTATATTTAGCTTGATGGTGGATGTATTGCATACATATCTTTGATAGAAAGAAGGGAGTTTGCCCTCTCCCTCAAGGTTTTCTTCCATGTGGGACAAGAACACATTAGCTAGAAAGGGACCAAGAGGGGATCCCATGGCCACGCCATTTGTCTGCTTGCACAGAGCACCAATGAACTGGAATAGTTGTTTTTTGTTAGCTACACTGAGAAGATCAACAAGATCAGCTTTGGTGAGGTTCAAGTCATATGGTTGTATTAAGCCAGTTATTTGTGAAAGCTCTCAAATAAAATATATTTAAGTCCACATGGCAACCAGGTGGACAATCAGACATGGTTTGATTTTACTCTGGTTTACAGATTTAATGAATGTAACCGAAGAAGTTACAATTCATAGACCCAACGTTTTGACACTCCTGTTTAGTGCCTTCATCAGGGGTGATCTAAATGCTGCAATAAGAGGTCCTCATAGGCTTGAGTTTAGTGTCTAGCCATTTAGCTTAAGCATAGTTGTACGTTTGCTTTGCTGATAGTATAGGACACATTGCCAAGCCCTCCTCGTGTGTTTTTGGTAAACCATACAAATGCGCTAAAAGCTGTGAAAGCTGAAAGCTGTGAAAGCTGAAAGCTGTGAAAGCTGAAAGCTGAAAGCTGTGAAAGCTTTGTTCGCAAGAACCTTTATTGCTTCATCTAGGGGTATGTTAGTAAACAGGGAAGACATGTTATACAAAACCAAAATGCCACTGTTTGCAATTTCCAAGTTGTGAATCTCGTTCACGTATTCAACATGTCAATTACCATATAATGATTCAAGAACAGAGACTTGAGTTTAGTGTCCAGCCATTTGGCTAAAGCATAGTTGTATGTTTGTTTTGCTGACAGCATAGGGCACATCGCCAAGCCCTCCTTACATGTTTTTAGTAAACCATACAAATGCGCTAATCTGGAGCCTGTAGGGCGGACCGTATCTGCGAGAGACTTGGGCAAGATTCTACGAACGATGAAATTTTTTTGAATTTTAAATAACAATTACATGTATCCCAGAGAAATTATAACAGTAGAGAATCTGATGGAAAAATGCCAATGATAGTAATAGAAATATAATTACAAAGATCTCTGTCAACATCTGATCAACATTTCTTGACATCGCATTAAAAAAGCTGATTTTGCAAAAGTATCTACGAACAGCGTACTGTATCATTTTAAGTTCCACGACAATATCAATCGATCGTTTAAATGAAATTAGCCTCAGCTTGCGAACAAACCTTTCATTGCGACAGTATAACCCTTATTCATCGTTTTAGGAAAACCACCATGATGATGTTGCTGGAAATAAGGAAAACAAGAGACGTCAATAAATCAATTTGTGAATATCAGCTTCTGAATACAGACTGCGATAAACAGCCTCTCACGATCAAAAACAAAATACAGAATGTAGCCAAGAAAGTCAACTGTCGCTTACCTTACTAAATTTTAATTGCTTTTTACCGGGTTCAGGGAGACAGCAAACGGAAAGAAGGAAAAATAACTCGAGGAAAAGCGGGAAGTATCTTTTGGTTGCCGCCATGTTTTCTTCGAACAACTGCTTTCAGCACAACGCATGAGCAGTGTAAAATGATGACGTTTACACGATAACGCTCTTGGATCGTCATGGGTAGGGTGGAGATGTTTATGTTGTCCGCCAAGATGGCGGACGAGATAGCTCAGTTGATTGAAAAGAAGTGTCTGTTTAGTTCGGTAGAAGGGTAGCCCAGGCTGTCTGGAACGATTACAGAGGTATTTTTTTAGCATGATTTGTATTATCATACAGATTTTTAACTGATTAGGAATTGAGGAAAGCTCTTTTTCTAAATAATTTAAGTTTGAGCTATTCTGCTTATGTAACGGAAGATATCTGTCTACTGTTAAATCATTTTGTGATTGAATGACAAAGGATCAAGGGAGAAAAAAACTCAGCTACCTTGTGCAGGTGGTGTGTATAAGGGAATCTTTATAGTTCTCTCTAAAATTTAATCCGGGAAAGAAAGAATATAAAGAAACCTGACTCTTTGGCTTACAGAAGACGACCGAGTGGCAATATTTGGCAGGCTAAACTCGACATATACACGATGATAGTAACGAGATATGGATGGAATGGTAAAGAGAAATCGAAGGAAACTCTTAAATTAGGGACATATTAAAGAATGTAGGGCCGCTTATATAACTGAATGACACTGCTGCCTATTTGGGCAATTTTCCACTTCTTCAAACTCTGTGGACAAGATTGCCATCAAAGGTTCCCTTTCCAATAGTTGCTGCTGAACAGTTTCTTTCAAAATGTGTGACCTGTAAGCTCCTCATGCACATGCCTCTAACATTATTGATTAACTGATTATTGGTTGATTTTATTCTTATTTATATTATTAGCAAAAGACACTAGGAGTGGTTATATACACGTCATGTTCTTGTTTAAGAAGGAAGAACAATGTCACCCTTTTCAAGTTCTCCTGAGTTGCCCATACTCAGCTGCCGCTTCAACAAGGTAAAGAATATTCCTTCAGCTTTAAGCCATAGTGCAAAATTATGTGGTCTATAAATAAGGCCAGTTGAGTCATATCTTTCTTTTTCATTCCGCGAATGATGAAAGCTATTTTTAGAAATAGATCATTCACTCTTATATTTGCTTGTATGTTAGTTTTAGTATTGCTATTATTATGATGATACTTAACAGTAAGATAATGTATCTATATGTACCTGTGAGAATCACAAATTTGGCTTGACTAGAATGAATGATATTAGGTAGCTACTTGATATTCCATACCTGCCTTAGCTGTTTAACTCCCAAGATCTGATTGTTAATTCTCCCCTCTAGCAGCTACACATTTCCCTGTAAATTAGTAATAAGAATTCATAAGGTTTAGATAAAGATAACAACTTCTACCTGATAAGTTTGAGTATTCTCATGACACATTTGGTGGATAGTGTTTGGATATATTAGGGAGGAGTTACATGTTAATCTCTTCTGGGAGTTAAAGGGTTTAATAGGAGGAATAACAATCACATAATTATGCCTAATGGATGGAGATGATTGATGTCAAAAGACTTTTTTGTACATATTTTCCCTTTATTTTTTCATAATGGAAGTAAAACAAGATGATATTAGTTAATTTAGAGCTTGACATGTTTTAAGTTTAACTCTTTAACTCTCATGATGTGTTTGTCCATTCTCTCCTCTACAGGTCAACAGGGAAACCAACATTGTATGATGTCCTTGGTGTGTCAGAAAAGGCTACGCTTGGAGAAATAAGAGATGCTTTCATTGCAAAATCTAAAGAGGTGATGGGACTCTCTGGGTCATTAAACAGTAAATTAAACTAGATTTGTTCAGGAAAGTGGAATTAGTGACAGAGACTTACCAGGCAGCAGACCACTTGAATTGTACATGTTGGCAGCATTCAAAGCTGCAACTAGTTAACCACTATTAAGAAATAAATAGTTTGGCAAGTAAATGTGCTAGGAAAGTCACCAGTTTTAATAATTTTAACAACTTGTGTCAATTTTCATCCTTTTTTTTGTTTCTTTTGGTGACCAAGTTATGATTTTAGCTGGCCAAATGGAAACTTTGAAAGGCCTTTTGTGACACACTATGTAAATAAGGCCAAATATGTGTCACATGAATTCTACAGGAAGGCGAGCATGATTTGTAAAGTTATGAACCAGCATAAGGCGTGCTTTGCCTTCTGAAATGTATGCGAACTGGGAATTTTTCTTTTCATATTATAAAAACCTCAAGATTTCCCTGAAACCTTGTAAGGAAGAAGATACATTTAAAGTTGTCCTTTTACAAAATGACAATTCATGCATGAAACAGAATCAGGACCTTCCTTTCACAACTCTCATTACACATGTGATGATACACTTAAGTCAGTAACAAATTTCTCACAGACATGTTCATTTTTGTTTATAGATGCATTTTTTTTTTCATTAGTTAACTGGCACATGCACATTTACAACACATTTACTGATTTTTTTTCTTTTTTCTTTTTTCTACATGTAAATCAGTCACACCCAGACAAGAATCCAAATAAGCCAGAACTCCATGAAAGATTTGTGCAGGTAAATCTTGTTTTGCTTTTGGACTAAGTGAGGTACAGTTTGAGGTCTTCATGATCAAGCCCAGCCACGTATGGGTCAGAGTGGTGTAGTGTTCTTGGGCAGAACACTACAGTCTCACAGGGGTCTGCTCAACTCAGAATACAAACAGGGAGAACTAACATTCCTATCATGATGTGAAGCTCCAATTAGGAAACAAATGAGAATGAAATTTAAGTCTGTCTAGAATTGTTCTTAACTCTGATTCTGAAGGTGAGGAATGTTTTCTGTTTTGGGAAATTTGATGCAGGTACTGCTTTCATAGTCATTACTCGTACTTTAAAAGAAGTTTGCATTTCGATTTTTGGCCTAACACCTTAAAATAAGCTTATAATAGAGCGATATTTGGTAATGACTTGTATTGGACATGAAAATGCAATGCATATGATTTTAGAGAATTTTATTTTATTTTTGTCATGGGCCATGATGATGATAATGATGATAATAATAATAATAATAATAATAATAATAATAGGTAATTATTGAGGGAGGCACTTATCCATCATTTAGTGTTTTCTCGAGAAACTTCTCTGTCAATAACCTTATTATCAGATAAATTACTGATCCTCAAAGACAAGAGAATGGTCTAGATGTTCCTGGGGACTGGGAAACTGTCAGGAAAACTTTGCAAAATTCTGGAGGGAATCTTATGAGCCACCCTCTGACTCTATCATATAGCTTTCAAGAAATGAGCCTTGGACCTAGAAGACTTATGCGTAAAACCTCATCTAATTTAATCATGAATGTCTGATATTTTTCCTTGGTAGATCAACAATGCATACGGTGTATTGAGCAATGCAAGCCAACGGCGTGAATATGATTTAAAACTAAAATCCCCATCAGTTACCAGGCCTCCAGCAGGAAGCCCATTTGGTCCAGTACCACCCCACCGGTGAGAACCCTTTTTTTTTTCTGTAGAAAAGTAGTGTTTATCTTCCATTAACATTCTATGAATTAATAAGATGCCAAGAATTTTTGGTAGTTAAAATTTTATGGTTTATTTGAAATATACTGTGTAAAAGTTTCCCACACAACACTGTAACATGAATCTTTGTCAGGTCAACTTCAGTTTTGTGGATCTGAATTCTTGAATTTCATCCTATCTGGCTAGGCAATCTACTCAACAATATTATTATGACAGAGCCACAAGTCAGTCCAACTACAGGTAATTTCACATTTGTTACAATTAACATTATTATATGTAAAGGATCTTAAACTTTTATTTAGAAATGACTTATTTTCAACATCAATAATTTATTTTTAAACTTACCTACTTTTTAAGTAAGCTCTATTTGCTGTCTCGATATTTTTTAATAGTGATGACAACTTTATGTAATTAATTTTAGAAAATTACTGCTCTGAAAAATGGCTAGTGTGGGTATAGCTTATCTCTTGTAATGTGGTGATCAGGACAAAATGTGAATCACAAAACTGGAAGCTTAGTAGCTCCAATGTATTCATTACCCGTTTTTCCAAGACCTGATTGGTTCATTTTCTGAAACTTAATGATATTTAATTGCACTCCAGAATTATTCCTCATTTTAAAAGTTTTCAAAGTCACACAGTTTATTTTAAAAACTACAGTTCTTGGAGTGTCCGGAAAAATCTACATATGTATAATTAAAAACTATTCACTAAAGTGGGGGTGGCCAGTGGTGGATATTTACTGAGTCATGAAGTGGTGAGGTAAATATCTAACATTAACCACCAACATGGAAGTGAATATTTGTTTTGGTGAAAACTAAAACAATGAGATAATATAACACAAAAAGATGATTTTGACTCCTTTAATCCTGCAACAGTTAAAATATTTTCAGGTGCAAACCCAGTGTGAGTTGCTTGGAGGTGGATAGCAAAGGATATTTGGAGTTTAAGTAGCCAATCAGAGAACACTTTCAATGCTATCCACTGTCTTATATACCAATGACATATTGTTTTATCTCCAGACAAAGAAGAGATTTTGACTTTGTGTACCCAGCTGCCAACTCATCTAGGAGACAAACTTCTAATAGGAAGATTGTTCTTGGTGCACTGGCTTTCATGTTAATTGGAGGAGCAGTGGAGTACTTTATTATAAGGTAACTAAGATTTTTCCTTTTCATTTTTTGTCAAGATTGCCATGGACTATTTTAACAGGGCAAGCATTTGTAACATTGTCACTGGTCACTGTTGTCAGAGTTAAGGAAAGTTCCCTGTAGTTTTAACTGTGAGCTTTATGTTGCATGTACCTTCAGTTCACGTCACAGCAAATACAAGGCTCATGCTGAAGAGTTAAGTAGACGAAACCAACAGATTTATGCTGAAGTGAGAGAGAGAGCAAGGTAGGTCTGCTGAAGAGAATTCAGGATTCCTGTTAATCATGATCAATATTTTGTCACCTCTACATAATAATTACAGTGTATCATCATCACCAAACAAATTATGGCATAAAATTAAAGGCGGTATTGTACATTTTACCACAATTGGCAGTAATGTCGCAATTTGATTGGCCAATTTGTTGTTGTCAATAAGAGTAAAGACAACCCTGCACCCCTCAACTTGTCATGCAATGGTCATGCACAGAAAGAATTGTTTTATATGATCTTGACATTGTGGTAAAAAACAAACTGACAGTTGCACAGCTGTGCCTCATGAATCCACAACATTTTGATAGATTACACCGATGATGGCATGGTTCATGCCCAAACATGTCTTAAAAAGGTTTCTTCCTGAATCTGAATTTATTTTAATTATACTTTTATCACAGAGCTACTGAAGTAATATGAATAATCATATAATGAAATGAGCATCTCTCCTCTGAACTTCTAGCTAGAACAGAAAGCCTGTCAGGTTTTAACCCTTCAACTCCCAATGTCTGATTGGTAATTCTCCCCTTTAGCTGCACGACATTTCCTTGTTAATTACTAACAAGAATTTAGTGTTGGATCAAGATAACAACTTATACCTGATAAGTTTGAGTTAAATTTTAATTAAAATTTCCACGTTACTATGCTAAACATGACTATAATTATTTTGTTTCAGAACGAATGGTCTTAGAAAGCAACTTGAAATTCTTGTTTCTCAACATACTGGACTGGATGGAGTAGCTGCTGCTAAAAGACTTCAGGAGTATTTTGACCAGGATGGAAGGGATTGACTGATAATTTCACCCCATTACTCTCATGAGTGACCAAAAGAGAATTTCCCCTTACAATATCAATACAATATCAAGCACATAAGTGATAAGAATAAAGAAAAATATCAAGTAGGGGGTTATTAGTTGATCTAACACTAAAATCTCCAGACTAACATCATGAGAATTGTATGTCATTGAGTAAGGAGAATTGCTAATGAGATATTGGGTGTGATAGGGTTAAATGAATGTATTACTGAGGTATAACTTATATCAAAACTTGTAAAAAGTAATTAATGAAAAAAAATCAAATTCAAGTGTAATAAATTCTTAAACATGTCAGGTTTATGATGGAACAAATTAACTGTTATATTTTTTCTTTAAGAACAGATTGAATCAATGGGTATTTTGACTCTAAAAATCTTGGGGGGTTTTGGTTCACTGGTAAAAGAACTTTGTGTTGTCCAGTTCTATTTGTAATTTTACATATCAGACTCTGATCCTATCTTGTAGATATCCAATTTTAATAATTACTCATAAATTGTATAATATGAGACAAAATCGGATACCACTTGTTCCCAATACCATTGTTAATTGTGAAAATGTTGTACCAGTGGCTCGGACTTGAGGACAGGAACAAAAAGTATTTTTGTTGTGGTTTTAAGGAGAGGATTATAGTTGTTGTGACTTGTAATTTCTTCTCAAAGAATAAAACTTTTTCAGTTGTTTCAAACTTGAGTGCTAATTTAGGACATAATGGTTTTGTGTGTGCGTGGACACTTGTAAAAATCCTTCAGTTCTATTAGTTAAAAGTTGATCATTATGTAAATAATTTCATGTATATGCAAAACTTACATTCTTATCATGATGTGAAGTCCAATTAGTAAACATTTTTACTTTTTAAAAATGTGGTTGACATGCATATTTCATTGCTAACCTCAAATATGGGCCATGATGATGATAATAATAATAATAGTAATAATAATAATGAAAATAAAAATAATAATAATAATGAAAATAATACTAATATTGATGATAATAAAAACTGATGGGGTGCTTTGTCAATAACCTTATTATCGCAAAGATTACTGGTCCTCAAAGACAACAGAATGGTATGGTTATTCCTGGGAAGTGTTCACTATTTACCATGAGTGTGGTAATAGGACCATTGAAGAGAACAACTTTCTCACAGGGATAGATATGTCAGAAAGTGACTTAACAGCAAGAAACTGTAAGAAAATCTCGTATTGATTCCATTTTAGCTGAAGCTTGAAAAGTTACAAATCAAGTAGTAATAGTAACAGGTATCAATTCAGAAGGTGAGGGCTGAGGGGACGAGGCAGGGGGCTCCTATTTAAGAGAAGAGCTTGTTTGACATTAAGGCCTAGGGGGTGGGCATTTATTAAGAGTTGGGCACTCAGTTGAGGGAGGGTGCTTTTTCAGGAAATTCCCTGTCATACAATGCAATACACTTGCTGCTTTTCACATTGCTGATCCTAGCAGTATACTGGACTTTGGTCATATGAGAATATAAATGGCCTACCAGTAGTTCAGAATTGGGTTGTCTGTGGCCCTGTGGTAGAGCATTTTAGTGAAAAATTGGAAGGGTTTGGAGTGCAGGTTCTTGTTTTGGGATTCACAATAAAACAAGTAACAAAACTATATTAAGTTTGTTTGAATATTTCTAGTCATTTATTTATATAGATTGACAATCATTATTAATATTGACTGTTGATTAGCCATGATAGCTTTAAAATTATGTATCCATATCATGAAGCTGCCTGATCCAATTCTCTAAGAATTGAACTGACAATTTTCTCTACTTTTCTAAAGAACTGCCAGTTCTTGCAAAGGTCTCTTTAAATAGTTGATTATAACAATATTTAATAATATCACATTTTTAATGAGAAAGTCATTTTCTACTACTGCAAAATCTGTATAATTTCCTATTCTAAGACCGGTTTGTTGTGTTTTCTATGGGTACCAATGAAGGTCTCCACATACTGCTGCTGCTTCTCGATTCTGTCATTTCCATTGTGGGTTAAAATATTCTTAACTTAGTTTCCTTGTTAATGATATTTGATAATCAAAATGTATTTGTAAACTACTCACTCTGAAACTTGAAGTGGATTGCAGTGAAAGGTGTATCTCCAAGCAACAACTGTCACTTTGTGGGTTTAATTTTATTGGCAATGGTAAAATAAGCCATGCATATGGTTGTCAGGCAGTTAAGCTGCTCCTTTATCAAATTTCACTGTTTCTGCTGTACCTCAGTTAGTTGAATAATTACTGTATAGGAGCATGTACCAATTTGTAATGTATTGAGTATAGTACATGCAAAGAAATGTTACCTCATAATTTAAAAACCCTTATCTCCTAGAAGCTCCTGCACTGCTAGGGTTTATGTACAACACAGAATAATGTTATTCTATATATATATATTAATAAAAACTGTCTCTTGTGAGATTTGTCCAAGTACGCTATGCTGGTACTATGCGTTGACACTGTTTTTATCTTAATTTCCCACTGAATGGCTGGTTTTTGCTGCATTGATTAGAATACAAGAAACTATCATAAGATTGACCATTCCAAATTATTTTAAGTTGTAAATTTCTCGAAGTCCACAGAAAAGAAGTAAGCAAATCAAAATTGCTTAGTAATGCTTAATTTCTGCATCTGATTTGTTTAACATCAGTATGCATATCCTCCATACAATTCTCTATACATTTCCTAAGGTGCTGACAAGGAGAATTTGTTTAACAATCAGCAGGTACTTCAGTTGGTTATCTGATTTTCTTCATTCTTGTCACCTTAATGTTTGATTCAGGAGTAATATTGTAGGGAGAAATTAGATGGTAGTCACTCTTGAGGTAATGCTAACGGTGGTACATATTAAGTTTAACCCTTAAACTCCCTTGAGCAACCAACATCAAGACAATATCAAGCACACAAGTGATAAGAATAAAGAAATATAACAATGAGGAGATTGCAAGTTGATGCAATACCAAGTTCTCCAAACTAATATCATAAGAAATGTATGTCAGAAGGTAAGGAGAATTACTGATAAGATCTTGGGAGTGACAGGGTGAAGTATAAGTCATGATAATAATTCCCTGCAGTATTCAAATACAAAGTTCAAAGCTCAAAATATCAGAGAATAAAGTTATTGGAATTAAATTGCATGTATAAAAAAAGAAACAGGATTTTTACTTCTTTTCAGAAATTTCCTTCTCAAACCTCGTTTATGGCATCTTGTTGAATTCTGATCTCTCTTTAAATTTGTTTTTTTGTCTGCTTGTATTTTGGTGAGAGATCAACTGAAACATCTTACATGGGAATAGGACACAACTAAATCATTTACTGACTTTTCCTGTGTGAAAAGCACAGGAGGCCTGGAAACTACAAGAAAGACTATTTTCATCATGTTTTACATAGAGGTTGCAGCATCACCAGTCCATACTTCTACTAATCTGGGCCTGCTTTCTTGTGCTGGACACAAGCTGCCGTGTTCTTGATCTTGCGAAATGAATCACACTTGCATGATGATATCCACAAACTACTGCAGCGGCATGCGACGATCATATATTCTTAGGCAAAGAGTCCATTCCATCATTGATAAACCTCTATCTTTGTCAAGATCGCAATCAACCAACAGCTTTTTGCCACATTTTCGTCCTCGTTTAACGTTTCCAAGAATTTTCTTCATGGTCGATGTGAGAAACTCACTTGACACAAGCAGTTTGTCCCTGTTTCTGTCCAATCGGTTGAACTTCCAGATTAAAACTTGATTATCTGATAGAAAGGTGCCAAAAAGTTGAAGGTTTCCTGATCTGGCACTTCTGCGTTGGTTTCTTATTGATTCAACTGTGCAGAAGCAAGAAAGATCAACACAATTACTAAATAAATACAACTCAAACTCAACTTGTAGGAAGCAAACATTTCCAAAGGTCAAAAAAAAAATTGCAAAATCCAGTGGTCTGGGACTTATTTTGGAATTTCTTATGGAAGACTCAGACACAAGTGGACTTTTTTTGACCCTCATGACAAGACAAGCTGCATTCAGTTTTACAACTGTGCTAAAAATTACTCAATGTCACCTTGCTAAAATTTTACCAATTTACCTTTTACATTCTCTTCAATCAGTTTGATTTCGCTCGCTTAAATGACTTAAGACACTTTTGAAACATTGTCAACAATCCTCCTAGATGCAATTAACATACATTGGAAATTTTTTTTATTAATTTCTCCTTACAAAATCTGAATCACACATTAAGGACATGTTCCTGAAGGAAATGATCACCAACAAAAAAATGCTCTTGATTATTGTACAAATTCTCCTCGTCAGCATCTAGAGAAATGTATAGAGAACAGTGAGGAGAATCTACATACTAATGTTAGGGTGTAAAGGGTTTTAACTAAATAACTAAATCATCAATAACCTTGATCTTCTTCATGTTTTGGAGAGTCTTCACCCACTTCTCTCCTGAACAGTCTCAGCATTTGTTTCCTAAATGATGTCCACAAATCTTGAGCACATTCTAGGTGTAACAACAAACATCATTCATTAGAATACATATAGTGAGCAGCTGGAAGAGGCAAGATTGATCAGAACACAATTATAGTATACAAGCCAACATTTTTTTGGAGTCAAAGGTGTGATTCTCTTTGTAGAGGACATCATTTTTCCACAGGAAAAGCCCAAACCCTAAGCAATTTCTAAATATGTTTAAAAAATTTCCAATGATATTGTGATGAGTTTTGACAAAACTGTATCTCCACCCCTCCCCCTACTAAAATCAGATGTCATTGCTACGGTAGGATCATTGATAAAGTTTTCCTGGATTGGTTGATGCTTTAACTGAATCTTTTCACCCCTAAGATCTCATAATTAATTCTCCTTACTGTCTGCCATACAATTCTTATGATGCTAGTTTGGAGAATTTAGTATAGGATCAATTAGTGATCCCCTAATTGATATTTTTCTTCATTCTCATCACTAATCTGCTTGATATTGTATTAATACTATAAGGAGAAATTATGTTTTGGTTACTCATGCAAGTTAATGGGTAAACATATTTTAGAAAACGTATCAAACAAATGTATCAGGCTGCAGTTCTATGAGATATTTCGTTAGCCTTAAGAATGGTTGCGCAGATGAGAACTGGTGTGTGATCAACATTGCTGATCTGGAAGGAAGAGAATCACTCCTAATGTAGGAGAGGCAGCAGGTGAAGAACAGTTCTTTAGAACAATGTAGGAGCCCACCTTTCTTTGCTAAGCCAGTTGCATTCTGTTTTGACACTGAAAAGAAAAAAAAAAATTCTCATTAACAAAAGTTGAGCTTCTCTTGCTGCTTGATAATCAAGCTTAAAATTGTCATTTTCCTAATCCACCATGTCAATGTTGCAGATCTGCAACTTTTCATGAATTTAAGAAAATGAAGCTACATTTTCATCCCCTTATACCCTAGCATCCACATCCATTTTCTCAATACTCTACTTTATACATTTCCTTTGGTACTGACAGGGAGAATTTGTTTATCAATCAAAGCTTCTTTAAGTTTGATGATCAATTCTTTTATTCCTATTCCCATGAATGATTTAGCAATTACTGTAGGGAGAAATTAAATGCTGGTCGCTTTTTAGTTTAAATAACTTACGGTACTTCCGGCAGTCCAAAGATGTAGCTTTTGTTGTCGTATTTGGAATTGGTTTGCCAGTGTCGATATCAACACACCAACAGTAACCAATGGAGTAATGGCATTGGGTTGGAGTAAATGAACCATCTGTGGCACAACGAGGCAAGTATGGTTGGTTTTCACTGGAAGAATGCCTACTTGCTTTCAGCGCTGCGAGATATTCACCACTACACTTCTTAATTTCTGTTGATCAAGAAGATGTAAGTTATGTCAATTGTCATGGGTGTGACTAGGTTCTAATGTTCTGAGGCATGGGCTGGGTGAGGTATTCTAGATTATTTCCAATTATTACTCCAATATTAATACAGTATCAATCTTTTTGACAACAAGAAGGGTCTCAAGGTTATCTCTTGTCTGCAAAAGTTGCCAGATGAAAAAGTGGCAATCCCTGGCTTGATTTTTGAGCAGTGATTGCTCAGCGAAAAGCTTAATATGCACTTCTAAGGTTACGCACTAACACTTGTTGGTGGGAAATCAAAGGTTATCTTTGGGCCACCTTACTTGAAATTTCATTTCTTGATCAACAATTATTCTACAGAAACAACTTAGCCACAACTTTGCATTTAAGTTTCATTTTTCTTTTCTCCTGATGAATGTCTACCTCACCTTTCACTCCAAAGCAAAAGTACCACTCATTGAGTGAAATTTTATGGTCTCTTTCCCTGTCACAGTAAGCCATGAAAGTGCGGCTGCACTTTTTAGGGTGAATGGTTTTTTTTGTAATCTTGAGGAAAGCATGGAGTTCCTTCATTTCCAACATGTAATCAGCATTGGTGTCAAGATGTGTGAACTTCCAGAGTAAAAGATGGACTTTACCCATACTGCTTGACTGACCTACAAAATATTGTACAGTAAAATTGAAAATATGTCCACTAAGGGATCTTCCATAGTTTCAAAATGGAGTGTCATTTACACTGAAAAGCAATGGTCAAGTCTGTATGTGAGTGACCCACCCAGCCAGAACTTATCCCAGTTTCATCTGCATGAAGCAACAATGGTTTTCTTTACTTCCCCCTTGGATAGGATGCCAATCCAATGCAAGGTTATCATGTCCCCAGCATTATGTAAGGCTTCCATGACAATTTACTGGTATCCATTTATACTGGGCAGAGAGAGGAACCATGAAAGTTAAGGGGGTAAGTTTCAAAAGAGACTGTGGTGATGCATCATTAGGAGAGTATAACAGGGTTATTAAGTATTATCAACTGAGTTGATAACATAAACTGACATCCGTAATGAGTTTCAAAGCTGACTTTTCAAGTATTTAGCCCTTTGACGAAGCGAACCATGAGAGTTACACATCTTACCCAAAAAAACAACACTTTGACCTGGCCAGTTTTCAAACCCAGACCTCTTGACTCTCAAGTCCAGCCCTTCAACCAATGGGGCATTTTGTTCTCCATCTTTTAGGCCATTTACACAGATGATAATTAATTCTCCTCCTTGATCAGGCAGTCAGGATGCAGTGAATATCAAGATTCACAGTTTTTTTTTTACCCTCCTTGGTAAAACAAGGTGCACAATAAATAAATTGAGGTTTATTCCTAAGAATAAACCTTAACAGTTACAGCCAAGGCCTAAGACCAACCCTCTGGTGCACAATTTTTTCAAGGGTTAAAAGGCAATGGTTTCTTAACCACTTTTGTAAATTTTTTATTGAAAGTGTCACAGTTATGTGGTATAAGCAAAAACTCTTAAACAAAGCAAAGATTCCTTTATTACCTTGAACTTGTCCTGAGCTGGATGCAGATTTTTTAACATATTCCATGAATTGCTTCGATAAGAATTTCACAAGCTTATCATTAAAATTAGTGCGTGCATCTCTTGGACAACCTGGAACAAGTCAAAATGAATCTTTTGTAAGTATATGTGGTTGTGATTTCAGTAGATTCAATGACTTCCTGAATTTATTTCCTAACAACACATTTTATTGAATCTTTAAGATTATCATCAGCAGCTATTTAATACCTCACCTTTACAATTAATGCAAGGTTTTACCGACTTCCAGCCTTTTCCTGATGGTTTCTCTGATGGCTGACCTAGAAAAATGGGACATAAAAAAGATCTTGGTCATGGTCTGAATTCACCCTTTCACTCCCAAGATCTCATCAGTAATTCTCCTCCCTGTCTAACATACAATTCTCGTGATGCAAGTCTGGAGAACTTGGTATTGGATCAACTAGCAATCCCCTTATTGATATTTCTCTTTATCCTCATCACTTGTCTGCTTGATAATGTATTGATCCTGTAAGGAGAAATTCTGTTTTGGTCACTCTGCAGATTCAAAGGGTTAAGAGTCACTCACCCTTGTCCTATGCAATCACATCTAACTTCTGCTTTCCTTAACAATACTTTTAATTTTAACCCTTGACACCCTAACATCAGAATACATGTTCTACACACTGTTCTCTATACATTGTCTAAGATGCTGACAAGGAGAACTATCTATCTCTCTTATTCTATGTACAAACATGACACTATTGACATTGCTAATCCTAGCAGTATGCTAATCCTAGCAGTATGAACTTCGTAATAGACCTCGCTCACCATAGAGTCTCTGTGGCTCAGTGGCAGAACATGGGTGAGCAGAATCTGCAGGTCTAAGGTTCAATTCTTCCTGGGGAATCAGAATTTTTACTTTGTCCCATGCTTGTGACAAGACAAAAAACATCTTTCTCAAGGAGAATTTGTTTAACAATCAAGAACTCCTTCAGTTGGTGATCATTTCTGTTATTCTCATGACCTTAAATGTTTGATTCAGGGGTAATATTGTAAGGAGAAATGAGATACTGGTCACTCTTTGGAGTGAATGGGTAAAGAGGAACTTACAGGGGTGTCAAATAGAGAAATGGTAGATGGATGGGTTGTCATGAATGCCATGTTTTTTTGTTAGACAACATGGAACTATTCAGGCATGGTTCACTGACCTAAGAGGTTACGATTGTTAACCAAATTCTCCTTGTCAGTATCACAGGAAATCTGTAGAGAACAGTTTAGAGAATATGAATCCTGATGTTAGGGTGTAAAGGGATAAGTGGTCCTGGTGTTTCTCTTAACTGTAATTTAAAATTTTCAACAAACACTTACTGTGTGCTCTTATTGTGGGACAATGTGGTGTACGCTGGCGCACTTTGGTTCCTGACATTTCTTTACCCTCGCGGTCTACACACCAACAATAACCTGATGAGTTTAAGCACTGCACTCGACTAAAGCTGCCATCAGCCTCACATTTAGGGGCAAAGACACCAAGCATGATGAGATCTTTTGCTCTTGCATTTGATAGTGCTTCCTGTCTCTCACGCAGACACTTGGTTGTAGTGGTCACTACAAGGTTGTGAGAGCGTTGTGGCACTGATGGTCTTGTACCTGCAATGAAATTGCAATTTAAACTTCAATGCATGTTAACATGAGAGAATTTATTTCATTCAAACCATTAGTGAGTTGAAAGTTAGTTATGTTGTTCATGAAACACTTAACCCTCTATCTCCCAAGGTCTCATTGGTAATTCTCCTTACTGTCTGCCTACAGTTCTCATTATATCAGTTTGGAGAATTTGGTAACAGATCAATTAGTGATCTGATGATTGATACTTTTTTTCATTCTCATCACTAGTATATTGTATAGATAAAGTAAGGAGGAATTCTTTCTTGATTTGGTTAAGACCCAAATTCTGCAAAAAGATAAGGCAGTGTGTTTAAGACCAAATCATTCTCACCTTTACAGCTTCCCTTATATGCCATTCTGACTCTGTGCCCATTGCACTTTGCAAGCTGAAGAGTGCAACGACTGCTGTACGTCCTTCTGTCACTACCGCAGACTGGATTACTTCCAGAATCACCGGTAGGGCACTCGAATGTTCTGCTGCATACACCGCCTACTTCCTGTAGAAATAGATACATGAACTATTAATAAAAGAGGGTTAGATTTCACTGGAGCCAACAGAGAACAAGGGAAGTAACTTGAGATTCAACAGTTCTTTCATACAATTAACCTTCTATTCTCTAACATCAGTATACATACTCTCCGTAATACTCCTAAGACATTTCTTAAGGTTTTGACAAGGAGAATTTGTTCAACAATCAAGAGCTCCTTTGGTTGGTGATCATTTCCTATATTTTCATGACCTAAATGTTTGATTCAAGGGTGATATTGTAAGGAAAAATTAGATACTGGACACTCTTAGGGGTTACTGGGTTAAATTTACTCGATTCCTTAATAGAATTACTATGTATATATATATATATATATACATATATATATATATATCCTAAGAGTAACCAGGCTCAATTTAGACTTTGTTAAAAGAATGGCAACTACTCTGCCATTTAAATGCATTCATTATCTTGACAGGTTTCACAATTCTCTAATCTTCCTCGAGTAACCTTTGATACACTGATACACCTTAACGCAATTCCATAACTACAAAAAGAAAAATCCCCCCTACAATGCAATCATGATAGGTAACAAAGACTTATAATTGTGCACGATCTAATGTCAGCAAATCCTGTAATTAATTATCAAATGACACTCTGGAATTAAGAGTCTTTGTTAGTTATTTTCAGACAAAAGTTGAAAGGTTATGCTGAAACCTAGGTTAACAGTCATCTCAAGCTGTGCAATTGCCTGGTGAGGCAACAACTGCTCTTAAGCTGTAAATGATGGCAGATGTATTTAGGTGAAACATTCTGCAAGGTAAAATTACCACCAGCAGACGGCTGACTTCATCTTCACAACTTCCCAAATACTTTCAGCGGAGTGTGCAGATGATGAAAAAACTTGAGATGCACTTTTTTTAGGCAAAAAAAAGAAAAAAAAGAGAGTCAGAAAAGAAATCAGGTAAATCGATTAACTGCTCTTTCTTTTAAATTCAGCACTGGTCAAAAGACCAAGATACTGGATCTCCTTTCTCTTGTCCCAATGTAAATGATATTCAGATCCTTTTGAATTTATATCTGGGTCAATGCTCAGTAGGAGATTTAACCAAATAAACACTATCCCTAACAAAAGAGGAAAACACTTGAAGTGCTGTTTGTCTTTTATTTCAACAATTGTCCAGTATTCTTTTGAGAAATAAATTTCATGAACCACAGCTAATGGAGCTGTCCTAACTACTATGTTAAGCAGTTACTGGCTACAGTGTTGTTAATATGAGAAGTGAAATACAATTATTAAATACATGTTGTTACAAAGCGTTCATAGAACTGCGGTGAAAGGAGTTTTAAGTATTTTTAGCAAATTACTTGTGTTAAAAAAAAAAAAAGTTTCAAAGGGCATGGCCCAAACATGCCCCAGTAATAATAGATTGTTATAGATTGTTATCAATAAAACTCATGTAGTCATATCCATTTTAACTAAAATGCCACAGCACAAGCAAGGCTTATCTAGCAATATACTTTTAATAGTAAACAGGAAAGCAGATCCCTTTTTACAGTTACTTGAGTATCTAGGTTGCCTGTAGGTCTTTTAACACTTCAAGCTTGTTTGATTCTTAACTGTATAGATTGAGTCAGTGAAGTCAGTTTTTATTTTTTAAACAGGAAAGAATATTTAGTACTGATAATAATATTCTTTCATATCAGTGCCACCATGTAGTGGTTGAGAAGTTGATAAAATTTGTCACATCTATGACAAATAGCATATTGTGTAAATGCTGCTGTTTTTTTTTTTTTTTTTAAAGGTTTGTCCCTCTAACACAAACCAGCTCTGTATGATTGTTAATCTGGAACAAAATATGTTAATGCAGGGTTCAGTAAGCCTATTGCAGATTGATTGACTACAGAAACATTCATATCAGGACAGACGAAGTTAATTAACATTCAACAGTAGGCAGCACGCTATATTTTGAAATTTTCACATCCTGGAGTTTCACTTGAATCTTTGTTTCACTATTTTCAACGTTTCAATCTTGTTAATAAACTACTTCAACAAATACAAAGGGTACATTCAGCCACAACAAGTTATTTTTATACATTCCGTTTTACACGGGGGCAACTGTGAGGTCTCTATCACATACATTTTTTCAAAATTTACAGGTCTTAAATTCTACAGCACTGAAAAGTTTCTGAGTATAGTCTTAACAAATTCTTCTGATCGCAGTTGAAAATCATTTCTAATGATTTCATTGGCCCTAGTAGGTTAAACCACTTATATTTAAAACACATAAATATACATGGCGACTGGTTTCTACACCCGAAATAACAAAATGTCTGCATAATCTATAAGCTCAGATTTCACGTGCCAGTTGTTTCAATCGACAAGAAACCTTCTTTCTTCAAGACTTTTCCGAAGCCATTTAGAAAAAGATTACAGTTCTTCCAATAAGAACTTCCCTTTCATCACTGCCTTCGACGAAATACATGTTTAGACGAGTTGTACATACTGCCGATCTCGTGCGTAAACACTTTCACATTTGTTCTTCCAGCTCAAAGCCTTCTTAGGCACGTGATAGTCGTCTGAGTTAGAACTAATTCAAACCGCCACTATGTCAAAAGAATATCTTTGTATCAAATAGCAGCTTCTAGGAGCAAATTCCAATCTTTGCTTCGCGGTTTTCACGACACAGATTCGAGATACATTATTCTGTTTATCACGCGACGTATCCGTAGAGGTATTAGTTTGTATCCAAATGAACAAAAATTTGCATCACTTCTTTTGTCACGAAAAAACCTTGATACCTTGAGATATCTCACAAAATAAAGCTAAACGAATATAAAATGCCACCTTTTGGGGCTATTAAATCGAGTTCACTATTTCGTAAGCATGAATATTCTATCAAGAATACGCCGCCTATCATTGCGATGGAAAATATGAAATTCACTACGGCGGGAAAGGCAGACGAGTAGGTTGCGTCACTCCTAAGCAAACCTGAACATATGGATAGTGGAAAACCTCTTTGCGCTCACGAGGTAATAAATCTATATAGTGGTGAAATAAAAGGATACAATTTAAATTTGATGAAGTCAATTCATGGAATCTGTCCCTCGGAGTTATTCACGCAAAATAAAATACAGTATTACACAAGCTAGATCATTCGATTTAGTCCTTGTTGGAGCTATGTTGTTTTAGCCTCTCGATGGTTTTGAGTAGTCGCGCGTTCTCCTCTCGTAAAACTTCATTTTCAACTTTCAGCCGATAGTTTTCATCTTCGAGGTATTCGGCTCTAATTTGAGTCTCAAGTTCTCGCACGCGTCTTGCATCTCGTGAACGCTTCGCGGAAGCGTTATTTCGCTGCCGTTTCTCCCAATATCTTTGATCTTTTCCAATTGCCTCTGTAATCCCACTACTACCATTCTTGAAATCGTTTCGTCTGCCGCGGGATTTGTTCGAAGGCAACCCAAGATTCGAATGTTCGCCTGATGCTCCTGTTTCTTCGCTGAACGAATCTGACCTCTCTTTGCGGGATAATTCTTCACTTGACGAATCAGACAGGCAGTCCGACTCTGCCCTACTCGACAGCTTTTGTACGTCTCTTTCACCATCATTCAACAACGACAGCCGAGGATTGGAGAATGACTGAAGAGACACAACCTTTAAGATATCATTGATTGAATTTTCGCCGAAATAAGGTATTCTTCGCCCATAAACTGCTTGATCGTCGGCCAATTTGCTGGACTTATTATTGCAAAATCCATTCGTTGTTTTCTTTAGCTTAGATCTTTCCGAACTTGAGGAGGTCGAATCATCGGAACTTTCGCTTCGTGACCGTTTCCGCAGTTTACGCGGCCCTCTCACCTCTTCCATGTCTATTTCGGCCTCTTGTGCGCTCTCTTGATGGTGAAATCGAGTATTCAAGAACAGAAAACTCAGTCAGACGAAAGAAATGTTCCTCGACTTTCGTTGAAAGTGCACAGAATGGAAAGTATTGAACTTAAACCTTTGACATACGATTATGTCATCTGAGAAGACGAGCCAACGGAGCATGCGTGGTTCCTAACTACAATAGCTTGATTGACGGACGGAAGAGACAACAGTCAAATGTTACATAACATTACTAGACAGGCCTATAGAAGCTCACGATATATCGAGTTAACACTTCGGCCGCTGCAAAATAACAGCGTAAATACACGTGTGGAACTGACATCTGTATCTCTCCATCTGGCCGATACAAATACCATGAATTGCGAAAACAAAATCACTTTTCGTTAGTGGAAATTTACCTTTCTTTTTCGCCTCTTCATCCTGTTCCATCGACCATGAAAATCACGCTCTTAATTTTTATTTTGGAATTCTTTAGCATGTATGTTATATTTGAATGTTGAATAGATCTCGAGGAATAGATTGGCTCGCAAGAAAAAATCGCGGTGAAATACTTTAAAAGCGTAAGTGAAAAACAAACGTTAATAAATCAACTGTATATCTCTTTTTGGTACATTTTCCGTCATGGAAGTGTCACAATTTGCGTTTGGATAATATCGGCTCTCATATTTCAAGTGGAGAGGAGCAAAACATCTCGTTAATTCAGTTCCCCGCCCGCCGAGTTCATCTAAACTCTTTATCAAAGCGTTAAGCCCCCCGATCAGAAATTTTCAGTTGGATCAATCAGGGCCCTTCATTTGAACTATAAAGGATTTATCCGCAACTAAGCAATGTTGCAACAGCTGATTTTTAGCGAGCACGTATCCGAATAAGAATTATGAATTTGTAATGAGACTTGACCATGCACGTTTGTTAAATAACACGCGTGACTGAGTTCAGCGAGCAAAACGCAACTTGATCATGATTGTTGAGCATTCCAAGGGAACATGATCTTAGAACACACAAAACGATCTCCTTCTGTTATAACAATCACTTCTGTACTTGTACTTGAATAGAATTTTAAGTGTATAAGTCATAACCTTACGCTGCAGTCAAAGTGCAGAGAGAGTTCCTTGGCTCAGATATC